ATCCATCCATCCATCCATCCATCCATCCTCCATCCATCTGCCATCCACCATCCATCCACCCATCCATCCATCCATTAATCCATTGATTCATCCATCCATCCATCCGCCATCCATCTGCCATCATCCATCCATCCATCCATCCATCCATCCACCCATTTGTCCATCCTTCTATTTATCCATCCATCCATCCATCCATCCATCCATCCATCCATCCATCCATCCACCTACAGTCCATCCACCATCTGTCTGCCCACCATCCACCATCTATCCATCCATCCATCCATCCATCCATCCATCCATCCATCCATCCATCCGATTAATCCATCCATCCATCCACCATCCATCCACCATCCATCTGCCATCCATCTACCATCCATGCATCCATCCATCCAGCCATCCATTAATCCATTGATTAATCCATCCATCTGCCATCCATCTGCCATCCATCCACCATCCATTAATCCATTGATTAGTCCATCCATCCATCCATCCACCATCCATTCACCATCCATCTGCCATCTGTCTACCATCCATGCATCCATCCATCTGTCCGCCATCCATCCACCACCCATCTGCCATCCATCCATCCACCATCCATCCATCCATCCATCCACCCACCCATCCATCTGCCATCCATCCACCATCAATAATCCATTGATTAATCCATCCATCCATCCGCCATCCATCCACCATCCATCTGCCATCCATCCATCCACCATCCATCTGCCATCCATCCATCCGCCATCCATCTGCCATCCATCTACCATCCATGCATCCATCCATCAATCCATCCATTAATCCACTGACTCATCCATCCATCTGCCATCCATCCACCATCCATCTGCCATCCATCCACAATCTATCCATCCATCCGCCATCCATCTATCCATCCGTCATCCATCCATCCATCCATCCATCCGCCATCCATCCACCATCCATACATCCATCCATTAATCCATTCATTAATCCATCCATCCATCTGCCGTCCATCCACCATCCATCTGCCATCCATCCACCATCCATCCATCCATCCATCCATCCATCCATCCATCCATCGATCCATCCATCCATCCATCCATGCGTCCATCCATCCATCCATCCATCCTTCCAGCCACCCATCAATCCATTGACCCATCCATCCATCCTTCTGTCTACCCAGACATCTATCCATCATCCATCCATCCATCCATCCACACTTACACACATACATACATACACCCTTTCACCTACACATCCATCCATCTGTCCTTCCATTGACCCATCCATCCATCCATCCACCTGTCCACCCATTGAAGTGCCAACTATATTCATTAATAATTCCCTCCCTCCCTCATTTAATAAGTCTTTATCAGGCACCCACTTTATAGCCAGTACCAAGCTGGGAGCCTTGGAAGATACCAAGACGTATCCATAAGGATAAGACCACTCTGGATTCAAAATGAGCACATGCTTGCAATTTAGTACTAGACAGTTTCTTTTCCTTTTTCCTTTCCTTCCTTCCCTCCCTCCCTCCCTTCCTTCCTTCCACCCTTCCTTCCTCTCTCTCCACTCTCTCTCTTTCTTTCATCTTTTTTTTTTTTTCTTGACAGTGTCTCACTGTTGCCCAGGCTGGAGTGCAGTGGCACAATCACAGCTCACTGCGACCTCGATCTCCTGGGCTCAAGAGATCCTCCCACCTCAGCCTCCCAAGTAGCTGGGACTACAGGTATGCACTACCACACCCAGCTTAATAGTTTCTCTGACACTGCAGCAATGTCTTCTAAACTCTGACAAAAATTGTCACTAGATCAGATATAACTTTGTTCCAAAGGAGACAGCCCTGGTTGACAGGTGAGAGCTCTGGTTGACAGGATTTGGATAAATGGTGAGAGCAGTGGAGGGCACTCCAGAAGGGGTGTACGGCCTAGGCAAAGGCATAGAGATTGGCACAAACTTGGCAGGTGCTGGGCCCACTGAGGGCCTGGCTGGAGCAGAGATCAGGGTTAGAGAAATGGTGAGGGATGAGGCTGAAGCAGGAGGCAGGGGCAAGACGGGGTGAGGGGATGCTCCCTTGATGTCCCCCCTTTACTGTGGCTCACCTCTTCCGAGCCCCAGCCATGGAAGAGGATGCTGAGGGGTTCCCTCTGGAAGGGCTGGAGCAGCTCAGCCGGGGGTCACTACCCCAGCGGGGCAGCAGAGAGGGCTCAAGGGCTGGAGGTGATAGGCCATGGAAGCTCTGAGCACGGGGCCGGGGGACAGCCCCCAGAGGTCTGTGGTAGGCCCTGGGTAGCTGCTCGCTGGCGTTGAGCTGGAAATCATCATCCATGGAGATGTAGGGGGCCAGCATCTCCAAATCCAGAGCATCGGCATCCTGCGGAGGGCAGGAGGGAGGTAAGAGCATAAGCCTTGGACTTGGGTGGACCTTGGCTAAAGTCCCAGCACCACCACTTCTGAGTTCTGTGACTGTGGCCAACAGTCTGAGCTTCAGTTTCCTCATCTGTAAAATGGGTATAAGGACTCCCTGAAGAGCATGTTAGAGAAATCCTAAATTGGGTCAGAAGCATGGGAGCTCACACCTGTAATCCCAGAGCTTTTAGGAGGCTGAGTTGGGAGCATCAGTTGAGGCTAGAAATTAAGAGACCAGTCTGGGTAACATAGCGAGACCCCCACCTACACAAAAAAGAAAAAAATTAGCCAGGTGTGGTGGCCCATGCCTGCAGTTCTAATTACTCAGGAGGCTGAGGTGGGAGGATTGTGTCAGCCCAGGAGTTTGAGGTTGCAGTGAGTCATGATCACACCATTGAAGTCCAGCCTG